CTTCCCTTCTCCCTCCCTGCTTCCCTTCTCCCTCCCTGCTTCCCTTCTCCCTCCCTGCTTCCCCTCTCCCTCCCTCCTTTCCCCTCTCCCTCCTTTCAGCCGCCACGTGGCCTCCACCCGATGTCCTCTCCTCCCCAGCACCCCATGGCCCTGGTGTCATTCCGCAGCCTCCGGGAACGTCCCGGCCTCGTCCGTGGCGTGTTTGCCACGCGCAGCCTCCCGCCCTCCTCTCTTGCAGCTCGCCCATGGCCTTCGCCCTCAGCACCTACATGAACCACACGGGCATCCGCAGCCGGGAGCCCCGCTCGGCCGGCGCCAGCGAGAAGGCCCTCCCGGACAAGGACAAGTGGCTGCCCTTCTTCCCCAAAGCCAAGAAGGTTCGTGCCTTGGGGGCAGCCCTTCCTCCGCCCTCCCGTTGCCCTTCGCGTCCCTCGCTCCTCGGAGACGCCCTGGGGCTCCGCGGCGGGCACCTGCGGGTGACACCGTGCGCCTTTATCCGGGTGGCCCAACAGAGCAGCAGCACCAAGAAAGACAAGGACGCCCTGGAAGACAAGAAGCGCAACCCCATCCTCAAGTACATCGGGAAGCCCAAAATCTCCTCGCAGAGCAGTGAGTGGTGGGAGCTGCCGGGGGCCGTCTGCAGCCCTCCGCGTGCACGGGGCCTTTGGGTGGCCCTTGGCACCCATGGGACCCCCCGGTTGGGCTCAGGGGCCCCATGTCCTGCTTCTCGGCCGGGAAGCTCCTGCTGCTCCTCGGGAAGCTGCTCCCAGCTCTGCGATGTCCCGAAGGGCACGTGTGTGTGTGTGTGTGTGTGTGTGTGTCTGCATAAGTGTGTGTGTACGTGTGTGTGTGTGTGCACACGTGTGTGTATGTGTGTGTGCATAAGTGTGTGTGTGCACACGTGTGTGTGTGTGTGCATAAGTTTGTGTGTTCACGTGTGTGTGTGTGCACATGTTTGTGCACGTCTCTGTGCACATGTTTGTGTGTGCATGTGGGTGTGTTTATGCTCATGTGTGTGCACGCATGTGCGGGCCTGTTTGTGTGCGCCTGTGTGCACACGTGTGTGCATGTTTGTGTGTGTGTACATGCRTGTGTGTACATGTGTGCGCGCATTTGTGTGCACATGCGTGCAAGTGTTTGTGTGCACATGTATGCACGTGTGTGTACATGTGTGTGCGTGCATTTGTGCACATGTGTGCAAGTGTTTGCGTGTGTGTATGTGCAGGTGTGCCTGTGCACATATGTGCATGCACACATGTGTGTGCACACATGTACGTCCACGTGTGCGCGTGCCCGCTCCCTCCGCTCCCCTTCCCCTTTGCGTTCTCATGGCATCCGCCCTCCTGCTCCCTCCGTCCCTGCGGAAACGCGGCCTTGATTTGACATCTCATTTTTGTTTTCCCTTCCAGCATTTCATGTCCCCTTGTCCCCCGTGGAAGGTAAAAGGCCTCTTCTTTTATTTGCCATTCCCCTCATGCGCTTCGTTTTCTTTCCTCCCCTGCCCCACGGTCCCCGGTGGCGCCACCGCGGCTGCTGGGGTGGGCCTGCCCACCTGCATCCCGATGGGAATGCCGCCAGCTCCCGGGGCTTCCCGCTGGATGCGGCTCCGAGGGGGAGACGCGGCCGGGAGGGCAGCGCCGGCGGCTCCTCCTCACCGGCRCTGCCTTGTCGCCTCCGTCCCAGCAGTCAAACCCGGCAACGTGAGGAACATCATCCAGCACTTTGAGAACAACCAACACTACGAGAGCCAGGAGCCCGGCGCCCAGCGCCTCTCCACCGGCAGCTTTCCTGAGGATTTGCTGGAATCCGACAGGTAGGCAGGGAAGGGACCGCCTCGGGAATCTCACTGGGCTCCTCCAGCAGCTGCTGGCCGAGATTCCGGGTTGGAAGCCCGCGGATGGACCCCCATCCTTGGAGCTGAGCCTCTTGTGGGCTTTGCCCGCTGCAGTTCCCGGTCGGAGGTGAAGCTGGGCCGCTCGGAGAGCTTGAAGGGCCGGGAGGAGATGAAGAGGTCTCGGAAAGCGGAGAACGTGCCCCGCTCGCGCAGCGACGTGGACATGGACGCCGCCGCCGAGGCCACGAGGCTCCATCAGTCGGCGTCGTCCTCCGCGTCCAGCCTGTCCACGAGGTGAGGGCAGGGGCAGCCTGGGCGCCTTTGGGAGTGAGCTGGCACCCTTGGGTGTCCGCCAGCCTGAAAGCCAAGCGCTTTGGGCTGAATTACGACCTCTCGAGGGAGAGTTTGGGGTGAACATGTCGGCCCACGTGGGCAGCGGAGGGAGGAAAGGGGCAGCCTGTACCCGGGGCACCRGCGTGACGCCCGTTCCCTCCACAGGTCGCTGGAAAATCCCACTCCCCCCTACACGCCCAAGCTGGGACGCAGGTGAGTGGCCCAGCCGCCGCGCCGGGCGCCCGCGCAGCGCTGCGCCCCGGGAGCTCCGGGACCCCGGGGCTTGGCTACAGAGCAGCAGGGCCACGGGAGCAGGGCGTGCGGCCTGCCCTCGTGTCGCAGGGGGCCTCAGGGGTCCCCCGTCCCCGCTGGTATCTCCCTAGCTTTTCCCTTTCCGTACCTGGGCTTGGACACAACACAAGGGGAGGCGATTGCCAGGGCTGTCAGAGGTGCCACCGGGAGAGGGATTCGCTCCGACTTGGAGCAATCCCGCTGGTTAATGTCAGCTCTCCATCCTCCTAGGGCTAGGGGGCATCTCTGTTCCCTTGTGTCTCACACAGGAGCTTAATGGACCTATGTAGATGGCTGCTGGGGGACCTAGGCTTTTAGCTCGAGAGTCAGAGGCTTGTGCTCCTTGTGCTGAAGGTTCAAGCCCAAGTAGGGCCCAGGTAGATATTGGCGGCACTGGGAGCACCGTGGGGTGGGCTCGCCGGCCCCGCGGCGCTGCGGAGTACTCCCACCTCCGCCTTTCATCCTCCCAGGAGCATCGAGTCACCCAACCTGGGCTTCGGCGGCGACCCCTTCCTCCCTCACCTCCTGGAGGACGAGCAGGGCCAGCTCTCGGACCTCGAGGCGGAGCTCGACCCGCAGAACTGGCAGCACACGGTGAGCCGGGAGGTGCTGGCCAACCTGCCGCAGAAGGAGATCGACCGTCAGGAGGTCATCAACGGTAAGGGGCACGGCCGGCGTCCCGGCGGGAGCGGCGCGCCTTCCTCGGGCACGTGCCCACCTCTGCCCGCCTTTGGCCCAGAGCTTTTCGCTACGGAAGGCTCCCACCTGCGCATCCTCCGGGTTCTGGACCTCCTCTTCTACCAGCGCCTGAAGAAGGAGGGTCTGCTGGCCCGCGAAGAGCTGGCACTCCTCTTCCCCAACCTTCCCGACGTGATAGAAATCCACAGTAAGCCTCTTCCTGCCTTCCTTGGGCTCTTCCCTGGCAATCCTGCCTCTGCGGTAGGGACACAGAGCGGTCGGCGCAGCCCCTGGGTTCCTGACTGAGGACCAGCCATTTGGACCATCCCTACCAACATCATCTTGTCTTGTTCCGGCTTCCCCTTTTTTCTCTCCCGGGCTTTCCTGGGATCGGGATCTGGGATTTTCAGRAGCACAGCCAGGGCTTTCAGGACAGGCATTGGTGTCACGTTCCTTGTCACGTTGCATCCGTGACAGCTCTACCTAAAGCCCAGGCCAACTGCTGGTCTCTCTTCCCTGCTCCCAAGTTGGGGAGCCAAGAAGACTTGGAGCTCGGCATGAGGCACCGTTAAACGCTTGTCCCTCCTGTCCCGCTCGCTTGTCCCTGTCCAGATTCCCTTTCGGAATCCATGAAGAAGCTCCGGGAAGAAGGACCAATCATCAAAGAGATTGGGGATCTCATGCTGTCTCGGGTGAGGAGGGCCCGGAGAAAGGGGGTCATAGAGCCCCAAGGAGGCATCTTCTCTTGCGTCTCCTGGAGACAGGCCCCGTATTTGGGGTGACTGAGCCTGCTCCCCTCCTGCTCCCCCTTAGTTCGATGGCGCGGCCAAAGAGGAAATCCAGCAGGTCACTGCTGACTTCTGCTCTTACCAGTCCATCGCCCTGGAGCTCATCAAAACCAAGCAGCGCAAGGAGAGCCGCTTCCAGATCTTCATGCAGGTTTGTCCCTCTCTTGGGCTTCCTCTGAGCTCTTCCTTGGTCTGGAGCTCTCCTGGCTTCTCCTGATCTCAACCCAGGGCCTTCCCTCCACTGTAGGAAGCAGAAAGCAACCCGCAGTGCAGGCGCCTGCAGCTCAAGGACCTGATCATCTCGGAAATGCAGCGCCTGACCAAATACCCGCTGCTGCTGGAGAATATCCTCAAGCACACCGAGGGTAGGGCACCCCGAGGTGCTMGGAGGGGCCCCTTTGCCTGCTCCATGGTGCCTGGAAAATCTCCCTCTGGTCTGTAGGCAGCKTTGGACTGGATGATCTCCCAGAATGGTTAAGGTTGGAAGGGACCTCTAGAGATCATCTAGTCATGATCTCTGGAGGTCCTAGATACTGGATGATCTCTAGATCGTCCAAAGTCCAGCTCATCAAGGTCTAGATCATCCCTAGTGACTGGATGATCTCTAGAGGTCCTAGATACTGGATGATCTCTAGATCATCCGAAGTCCAGCTCATCAAAGTCTAGATCATCCCTAGATACTGGATGATCTCTAGAGGTCCTAGATAGAGGTACTAGATGATCCCTAGAGGTCCAACCTTAGAGATCTTTCCAACCTTAACCATTCTGTGATGCTGTGACGGGAGGTTTGTTGTGCCTGGGATGCAGCTGTGGGGATGGGAGCCCATTGCAGATGGACAGGAACCCACACTCCGCTCTGTCCTGTCCCAGCGGGCACCTCGGAGCACGACAAGCTGTGCCGAGCCCGGGACCAGTGCCGGGACATCCTCAAGTACGTGAACGAGGCTGTGAAACGAGCGGAGAACCGGCACCGCCTGGAGGGCTACCAGAAACGCCTGGATGCCACCTCGCTGGAGAGGACCAACAACCCCCTGGCCGCTGAATTCAAGGTAGCGCCCGCGCCCCGGGGGGGCGGCTTGGGGGGCAGCGGGGCCCGCCCCGGCCTCACCGCTGTCCCCCGGCTCCGGCAGAGCCTCGACCTCACGTCCCGCCGCATGATCCACGAAGGGCCCCTCACCTGGCGCGTGGGCAAAGACAAGACCGTGGGTACGACCCTTCCCACCGCATGGAGGGCTCCCCGGCGTCCTTGGTGCTGTGTTGGGTGCTCTGGGGACATCCCGAGCCCTCTGCAGCACCAGCGGCCGTGTCGGAGGGACCCCGACCATCTCCTGGAGCCCTGAGGGCGCCTCTCAAGGCTGAGCCTCCCCTCTGCCTCCTCTGCCCGCCCAGATCTGCACGTGCTGCTCCTCGAGGACCTCCTGGTGCTGCTGCAGAAGCAGGACGAGAAGCTGGTGCTCAAGTGCCACAGCAAGACGGCGCTGGGCTCCTCGGACACCAAGCAGAGCTTCAGCCCCGTGCTCAAGCTCAACTCAGTGCTCATCCGCTCGGTGGCCACAGGTAGCGGGGACGGGGACCGGGTCCTCTGCCCCCTCGGCCCGTCCTCCGGCTGTGTCTGATGCCAGCCAGGCTGGCTTGGCTGAAAACCCTGGCTGGATTGGGTGAAAACCTTCCCCTCCGTGTCCTGCTGTGTCCCTCCGTGTCCCCTCCGTGTCCTACCATGTTCCCCCGTGTCCCCTCCATGTCCCCCCATGATGTCCCCCCATATCCCCCCGCGCAGACAAACGAGCCCTCTTCATTATCTGCACGTCGGAGCTGGGCCCCCAGATCTACGAGCTGGTGGCACTGACGTCCTCGGAGAAAAACACGTAYGGCCGCGGCGGGGCCATGGCGGGGGACACGGGGACACGGTGCGGGGGACACCGGGCGCTGACGGGCCYGGCTCCGTGCAGGTGGATGGAGCTGCTGGAGCAGGCGGTGCAGGGCGCCATGCGGAACGGCGCCTTCCCRGCCAAGCGGCGCCCGCCGGAGCCCGCGCCCACGGCGCACGCCAGGTGAGCGTTGGCACCCATGTGCCCCCCCGGCGCCCGCGTCCCCGCGGCACCCGCGTCCTCACACGGCTCTGCCGCCCGCAGCCTGGCGCTGCAGGAGCCCGAGGCGGCGGCGCCCAGCGCCGGAGCGGAGGAGAGCTCGGCGGGCGAGCCCCGGC